AATCAACAAAACCAAGAGCGGGTTTGTTGAGAAAATAAACAAAATAGACAAACTCCTAGCCAGATTTAACAAGAAAAAAAGAGCACAGAAATAAACAAAAAGGAATAGTCACAATGGATACCACAGAAATACAATGAATTATTAAAGAATTCCATGAAAAAATATATGCAAGTAAGTGGGACAACCTAGAAGAAATGGACAATCTCCTAGAAAAATACAACCTTCCAAGACTGACCGTGGAAGAAACAGAAAATCTGAACAGACCCAGTAATAAAATTGAACTGGTAATCAAAATACTCCCAACAAATTAAAGTCCAGGAGCAGATGACTTCATAGCTAATTTCTACCAAACATTTAAAGAAGAGCTAATACCCATCCTTCTTAAAGTTTTCCAAAAAGGAGAAGAGGAAGGAATACTTCCAACCTGATTCTACAAGGCCAGCATCACTCTAATACCAAAATGAGACAAAGACACCATAGAAAAGAAAATCATAGGCCAATATCACTGATGATGTGAAATCCTCAACAAAATATTAGCAAACTGAATTCAAAATTACATCAAAAGGATTAACCATCACAATCAAGTGGGATTATTCGAGGGATGCAAGGATGGTACAATATTTGTAAATCAATCAATGTCACACACCACATTAACAAAAAGGATAAAAACCACATGATCATCTCAACAGATGCTGAAAAGCGTTTGACAATATCCAACAACCATTCATGATAAAAACTCTCAACAAAATGGATCAGTTGATACATACTTCAATATAATAAAGGCCATATATGACAAACCAACAGCTAACATTATACTTAATGGTGTTAAGATCAGTAACAAGACAAGGATGTCCACTGTCACCACTTTAATTCAACAAAGTACTAGAAGTCCTAGCCAGCGGTCAGACAAGATAAAGAGATAAAGGGCAATGAAATTGGTAAGGAAGAAGTTAAACTGTTACTACTTGCAGATAATATGATATTATACATAGAAAACCCTAAAGACTCCACCAAAACACTATTAGAACTAATAACTGGATTCAGCAAAATTGTAGCATACAAAATCAATACACAGAAATCTTTTGTATTCCTATATACTAACAACAAACTAGCAGAAAGAGAAATCAGGAAAACAACTCAATTCACAACTGTACCAAAAAGAATAAAATATCAAGGAATAAGCCTAACCAAGGGGGTGAAATACCTATACTCTGAAAACTGTTAAGACATTGATGAAAGAAATTTAAGAAGATACAAACAAATGAAAATCTATCCCATGCTCATGGATAGGAAGAATTAATGTTGTCAAAATGGCTATCATGCCCAAAGCAATTTACAGATTCAATGCATTCCCTATCAAAATATCAACATCATTTTTCAATAAATGAGAGCAAATAACCCTAAAATTCACATGGAACCTCAAAAGACCCTGAATAGCCAAAGCAATTCTGAGAAAGAAGAACAAAGCTGTGGGTATTGTGCCCCCTGACTTCAAGCTATACTACAAAGCTCATCAAAACAGTATCAAAACAGTAATCAAAATAGTACGGTACTGGCACAAGAACAGACTCACAGATCAATGGAATAGAATAGAGAGCCCAGATATAAACCCACACATATATGGTCAATGAATATATGATAAGGAGCCATAAATAAAAAATGGGGAAAACACAGCCCCTTCAATAACTGGTATTGGGAAAACAGGACAGCTACATGCAAGAGAATGGAACTGGATACTGTCTAACTCCATACACAAAAGTAAACTCAAAATGGATCAAAGACATGAATATAAGTCATGAAACCATAAAACTCTTAGAAGAAAACATAGAAAAAATATCTCTTGAACATAAGCATGAGCAGTTTTTTCCTAGACACATCTCATGGAAGGGAAACAAAATAAAAAATGAACAAATGGGATTACATCAAACTAAAAATCTTCTGTATAGTAAAGGATACCATCAGCAGAACAAAAAGGCAACCTACGGTGTGGGAGAATGTATTCACAAATTATTCATCCAATAAGGAGTTAACATCTAAAATATATGCAGAGCACAAATGCCTTAACACAAAAGAAAGAACGAACCTGATTAAAAAATGGGTAGAGGACCTGAATATACATTTCTCCAAAGAAGACATACAGATGGCCAACAGGCACATGAAAAGACGCTCCACAGCACTAATCACCAGGGAAATGCAAATCTAAACCACGATGAGATATCAGCTCACATCAGTCAGAATGGCCACTATCCAAAAGACGAGAAATAACAAGTGTTGGTGAGGATGCAGAGAAAAGAGAACCCTCTTACACTGTTGGTGGGAATGTCAATTGGTGCACCCACTGTGGAAAGCAGTATGGAGGTTTCTCAAAAAACTAAAAATAGAAATATCAGTCAACCCAGCAATTCTACTTCTAGGTATTTACCCAAAGAAAACAAAATCCCTTATCCAGAAAGATATATGCAGCCCTATGTTTATTGCTGCATTATTTACAATAGCCAAGATATGGAAGCAACCTAAGTGTCCATCAATAGATGAATGGATAAAGAAAAGGAGGTACATATACATAGTGGAATATTATTCAGCCATAAAAAGAAAAGAAATCCTGCCATTTGCAACAACATGGATGGATCTAGAGGCTAAGTGAATAAGCCAGGTGAAGAAAGACAAGTACCATATGATTTCACTTATCTGTAGAATATAAATAGCAAAACAGAATGAACAGAACAGCAGTAGACTCATAGACACTGAGAAGAGACTGGTGGTTACCATGGAGGAGGGTTTAGGGTGGGTAGGCAGCAATGGGGATAAAGGGGCACAAAAATTCTCAATCATAATGTAGTTTGGTCACAGGGATGGTAGTACAGCATGGAGAATATAGTCAATGATTCTGTAACATCTTTCTATGTTGACATGGAGTAGCTGCACAAGTGTGGGTGAGGATTTAATATGGGTAACTTTTGCATCACTTCGTTGTATACTTGAAACTAATGTAAGATTTTATATCAATAAAAAATAAAAAGGAAGATTAAAAAAAAAGAAATCTTGCCATTTTCAACTATATGGATGGACCCAGAGGGTAATATGTTAAGCAAAAATAAGCCAGGCAGAGAAAGACAAGTATCATATGATTTTACTTATTTGTGGAATATAAAGCAAAGCAAAATAAAATGAACAAAACAGGAGTATACTCATAGACACAGAGAAGTGACTGGTGGTTACCATGGAGGAGGGGCTGGGTGGGTGGATAAAGGGGCACAAAAATTCTTTATCATAATATATGTTGGTCACGGGGATAGTACAGCATGAAGAATATAGTCAATGATTCTGTAACATCTTTCTGTGTTGACAAATAGTAACTGCACTAGTGGGGGCGAGGATTTAATAATATGGGTAGCTGTTAAACCACGGTGCTGTATACCTGAAACTCATACAAGACTGTATATCAACTATACTTCAGGAAAAAATAAAAGAACCAAACCATGAGGATAATTTCGCAGCTGTTGCCCCTAAGATAATAGGTCTCATTTGCTGTATGTTCACTCCATCCCGTGCCCTGCACCCAGCTGCTTACCTGTATTCCCTCACTTAACCTTCATCTGCAACTGACGTGAAGAGGAAGATCCTCAAAGGTTCCTGAAGTCCCTGCTCTGCCCTGTGGCTCTGAAGCTCTTCTAAGTTCTCACTATCCTGAGAGTCCTAACAGTGAAGTTTCTTTTAAGCCCATCTCCACAAAAAGGCTTGAAGTTTTTCAGTCCTATTACAGTGACTTTCTAAATCATTGATTCATCCAAATGTTTACTGAGTATCTACTGTTTTCCAGAGACTGTTCTATGCATTCAGGTTACAAAAATAAAAGATATGGTCCCCTACCCCAAGACACATAAGACACAATAGAACAGAGAGTGCTCGGGGAGCTCAGGAGAGTGAGGCATCAGGGAAGACTTCCTGGAGGAGGTGACATTTGAGCTGAACTTTAAAGGTTGACTAGAAGTTAGAAAAGAAAGGGAAAAATGCATGCTGTGCAGAAGAGAAACATGTGCAAAGACACAGAGATAGAACAATCTGGAGTATTCAGGGAATAGCAAGCAGGTGATCACTGCTGAAAGGTACAGTACAAGGGTAGAGAGAAGTACGAACAGTGGGGCTTCTGCCACCAAGGGTCATAATAAGGAGACTGGAGGTCCTCTGCTTGAGGACAGAAAACCACATAATAGTGGCAACCATGGAGCCTGCACTATTAGGCTGATGTTCACCCAGAGGATCCAAACACACATGCCCAGCATTCAATGCCCTTCACGTGTTGCCTGCCCCAATAACCCCTGACGCTACCTCTCTCTCCTTCAAAAACACCTTGGATCCTTCTCCCACTCCCACCCTTTGCAGACCACCCTCATGTTCACCTCAGACTGACTCAAACTGCCTATTTGTGCGACAGCCCCTCTGCATATTTGTGCTTGACTGTTAAAAGCAGCAGAGGGCAGAAGAGGCCCAGAAATACTTCAGAGATGCGCCTCTCTAACAAGTCCTCTGGGGGCATCGCTGCTGCTGGTCCACTTTGAGTAGTGAGGGGCTAAAACAGTAGTAAAAAGGCTCTTTTTTAAATCTCCAATCTATCACAGACCAATATTTTCAGAAAGTAAAATAAAAATGAATTACAAGAAAAATGAAATTATTAATAAAGACACAAAATGTTAAGTCCCAACTTTGTGTCACTGGATTCAGTAAACATAGTATTACCCTACTAAATGACACAGGTCGGCTGAACCTGAACCCAGCCACCACCTCCTCCCTCAAGCACAACTCCAGTTGCGGAAACACCAGAAATCACGGCATGCTCATTATCAGGTCTAACTTCTACCATGAGATTTTATGGGCAGAGGAGGAGATGTACTAGAAGAATTCAAAGAATTTGCTTCCGAGCTTCATGAGTATCTCCTCCTCTAAATGGAGTTGATGAAAACAGCTTTTGATGAGTACAGACCAAACACTTGCCCACCTACCTTGCCACTCTTCCCCGAAGATCTCCCAAACCGGAGAGCTGACGCATCTCCAGAGTCTTTAAGGCAGAGTTAGTTCCGTAGCTAATGTTGTCCCGGGCACGGATCTGCTCCTGCAGTACCTGGGCAACACAGAAAACCACAAAGGGGGTCATCTGAGAATGTACATGCTGCCACAGGAGCACTTTCTACCCTTGGCAAAAATAAGAATGTTTAACTCCTAAGAGGCTCTTTTTAACAGCCACCTGATATACATATCTACACAGAACCAGGGGTTTAGAACAAGAAGCCTCAGAGATCACATCCAGACCAAGTTCTTTAATTTATCAATAAAAACACAGAGACTCAGAGGTCATGTGGCTTGATGGAGGTCCTGCTGCAGGAAGAAGCAAAGCTCAAGACCAGGACCCTGGACTCAGGTGCAGTTCAGAGCTCTTTCCACCACTCCAGGTTGTTTGTGGATAGTCACTGTTTAAGTGAACAATCCCTAAATCTATTAGGAAGTAATGAATGAAGAGCAAGCAGGACTGGGGATGGGGGTGGGGTGGGGTGAGCATGAAAAAAACAGGTTCAAATTCCAGTTCCTCCAGCTATGTGACCCTGGGCAAGTGAGTAAAGTTCTCTGAGCTTCCCTTTCCTCACCTGTTAACAGTAATGGTGACAATGCTCTTAAGGCCATTGTGAATATTACATAAGATAATACATATAAAGCACTTAACAGAATGCCTAGTACACAGCAAATACAGGCAATGCTAATCTTTTTTCTAGCACTTATTTAATAACACTATTTATACTGGAATAGCAGACTGGTGTCTCACAGGGATTTTAATGGAAGTGGAACTTTCATTTAAGCTCATAAAGTTTTAGTAAGGATCAGGTAACCCAACAAAGGTATGACCTCGTGGAGCATCCATCCTGGGAGATCTTCAAGCACTGATGGAGACACTGAGGCCACACCTGTTGTTCACTGAGCATGTACTAGGGGCTGCAGGGGCTGCACTACACATGGACACACACCAAGTCTGCATTCTCAGGATCCCCATGTTACAGACCAGGAAGTGAGATGAAATGACACAAAGTCCAAAGTCACACGGGGAGCAAGTGGCCAGCCAGGACTGACCCAGGCAGCATGGCTCCAGAACCCAGGCTCGTAACCACGCTGCAGTACCCTTGCCCAACTAGGTAAACAAGATGAAGATGAAGCACTAAAGATACACAGACAGAGACAGGCAAACTAGAAAACCTGAGCCCGCGGGAGCAGGAGAACACTCAAAAGGAAAAGGTTATACCAGGTGTTGCTTTTTGAGCACGTCCTTCCTCTTTGGCACAGCCCTTCCTCCCCCCCCTCCACCTCACTCCAACTTCCACACCCCGTCACAACCACAACTCTCTCCTTCTCTAAGAAAAGCTGCTGATTGCTTGTAGTCTTTCCCTTTCACCCATCTTTTAATTTTTGTCCTGTTTGGTCAATGTCAGTTCAAATACTTGCTAATTTTTTTATTTCTTTTGGTCTTATTCTTTATTTAGTAATTTAAAATACTAAGTTCCTTTATTTTTATTATTGCTTCCTTAATAATGAAGACTTTTTTGTATTTCTGGTGTCCACAGGTTGGAAGTGAATTGTTTTCTTTCTTATTACTTTAATATCAATTTTGAATTTCTCTTAATCTAAGGACATATAGGGTCTAAAGATTACATGGGGAGATTCTCAAGATGGCGGCATGAGTAGGGTGGTGGAAATCTCCTCCCAAAACCATACATATTTTGGAAATACAGCAAAAACAACTATTCCTAAAAGAGTGACCAGAAGATACAGTATACCAGCCAGGCTACATCTACATCTGCGAAAACTCAACAAAAAAGGTAAGATACAAAGCCGCAACTGGGTGGGACCTGAGCACTCCCCCCACCCCAGGTCACCAGCAGGAGGAAAAAAATCAGAGTGGGGAGGGAGTGGAAGCACAGGACTGCCAAATAACCAGGCCTAGTAATCTGCCCCGGGAGCACAGACACACATGGCATGGTGTGCTGGATATTAAAGGAACGGAAAAGCAAAATCCAAGACTAAGACTGCAAACAAGTTCCCACAGCTGGCTGCCTTTGGACAAAAGAAAAGTGAGCTCATTAAAAATCTTCAAGGGACAAGGGTTTAATAGGTGGACAAAATCATCCTGGCACACTCAGCCCAGCAGGTGGGGAACTTTAAGGAACTTCAGCCATCCCCTGGATGGCAACACAGCACCAAAGTTCATCACGGTGATAAGCAGCCTGCTGTTCATTCCCCACTGCTGGCACTGCAAGCAAACGGGCTGACCCACCATTGCTGCAGAACAACTGGGGAGCAGTCTCACCCACAGCAACCACACAGGCTTCTCCCAGAGTGTGGCTAACTGGGACAGACCAAGAAGCTGACCCCTGCCCACAGTCAACCAACACAGACAGCAGAGACTGGCACAGAGCCTGAAAGGCACAAAGGGGCTTTATTCACGCAGTGAACATGCACTGCTCGCTTGCAACCCCCACCAGTGCCCTAGGGCATCCCGAGGGATGCCCCACCCACGGCAGCTCAGGGGATTAACCCAGAGGCTGCCCCCTGCGAGAGGCTGACTGGCACAGGTAGAGGAAACTGGCATGGAGTCACAAAGCACATAGGGGCTCTATTCTCACGGCAAACATGCGCTGCTCGCCTGCAACCACCGCCATTGCCCTCCATCATCCCAAGGACTGCCTGGCCCACAGCAGCTCAGGGGATGAACCCAGAGGCTGCTTCCTGTGTGTGGGTGACTGGCACAGGCAGGGGAGGTGGGCATGGTGACCAGTAAGCAGGAAGGGACTTTGTTCTCCCAGCTGACACACGCGCCACTCGCTGGCAATCACTTCCATCACCATAAAAAGGTAGAACCACCTTGTTCAACCCAAAATCCCTCAAACACCAGAGAGAGGGCTTGGTCAGACCAAAATCACCAATCTTCCTGAAAAAGAATTCAAAATAAAAATCATAAGCATGCTGATGGAGCTACACAGAAATATGCAAGAGCTGAGGGATGAATCCCTGGGGGAGATAACAGAAATGAAACAACAATGGAAGGACTTAAGAGTACACTGGATGATGTGGAAGAGACTGTTAATGGAAGAGAAATCAGAGAACATAAATACAGAGAAGCTAAGGCAGAGAGAGATAAAAGGATCTGTAGGAATGAAAGAATATTAACAGAAATGTGTGACTAATCCAAACAGAAAAATACTTGCATTATAGGGGTACCACAAGAAGAAGACAGAGAATAAGGGATTAGAAGGTGTCTTTGAAGAAATAATTGCTGAAACTTCCCCAATCTGGGGAAGGAAATAGTCTCTCAGACCATGAAAGCCCAGATCTCCCAACACAAGGGACCCAAGGAAGACAACATCAAGACATATAATAATTAAAATGGCAAAGATCAAAGACAAGTACAGAGTATTAAAAGCAGCCAGAGAAAGAAAAAAGATCACCAACAAAGGAAAACCCATCAGGCTATCATGAGACACCACAACACAAACCTTACAGGACATAAGGGAGTGGCATGATATATTCAATGCAATGAAACAGATGGGCCTCAAACCAAGAATAGTGTATCCAGCAAGATTATGATTTAAATTTGAAGGAGGGATTAAACAATTTCCAAATAAGCAAAAATTGAGGGAATTTACCTCCCACAAACCATCTCTACAGTGTATTTAAAGGGACTGCTCTAGATAGAAGTGCTCCTAAGGCTAAATAGCTGTCACCAGAGAAAATAAAACCACAGCAAAGGAAGTAGACCAACCAAATAATAACTAAATGCAAAATAAAATCAGTTATTCACAAAATCAGTCAAGGGA